GATGTAACAATTATGGACGATGCAACATTCCACCTTTGGAGGAGGGAGTGTGCTACACCCAAGTTTCTGCAGGATGGGGTCATTCAGTGCTTCTTCTGCAAAGTGATGGGAGTGCTGTTGCTTGCGGAAGGAAAAATGAAACACAATGCGACTTTCCACCTTTGGAGGAAGGAGTGTGCTACACCCAAGTTTCTGCAGGATATGCTCATTTCAGTGCTTTTGCGAAGTGATGGGAGTGCTGTTGCTTGCGGAAGGACAAATGAAACACAATGCGACATTCCTCCTGTTGCAGCCGTCGGGTGTTGCTACGTTTTTGATGTTTGTCAAGATTACGTTTTGCAAGTGGGTGTTGCCTTCCAAGATGATACAGCCGTACTGACATGCTGGGATTTGGCCGGGCATGAGTTACTGCATTTGAGGGCAATTGAATCTGACTTGGCTTGCGATATTTACAAGCGTATTGCGCATGACTTGCAGGTTAGCCTCCAAAGCCTTCGATTAGTCTTGTCCGGTGGACAGTTGTTGGCCTCGATCTGCAGGGCAACTCCATTGGCCACCATTGCAGATTTGAGCAGACCCGGGCAGGTGAACCTCAGTGAACCTGGCGACCCTGCGCAAATTTAGCGACAGAGTATCCACTCATGGAGTCCACAAACTTTGCACACTGGATGAGATGGATCCCCTCCCCCCAAAGCCATGTTTTCCAAGAGGGAACCATTGATGAGTAACTAGGCAGGCTGTTGTGCACTCTTTGGAATTCAATGTTTCAAAGGAGATGGTTCTTTTTTTGAAGTATATAGGATAGCAAACGGCCCCCCAAACGTCTGTTTTTAAGGTACCAACCATCTCTTCCTCGGAAGGCCGCTCTACTCTCAGGTGCACTTCAATGTCCATCCCGCATGACGCATCAGTCAGAGCTTGCCGAAACTGCTTGACATTTCTAGACCGGATTCTATGACATCCATGCAGTGGACGAGCTTTGAATCCTCCGGAATTGAAAGATGTTTATTTGAAGATGGAAGAACCCTGATATAGTACAGCGGATTGGGTGACCCTGAACCTCGAGAGCTAATCATCCAGTCCAATCCGTCCATCATGAGAACCTCATCCACGGCAGTTGGCCAGGCTTAAAGTCTTAGAGTGGTCACCAATTTTCCATTTATATACTGAAGCTTTCCATTTGTTAACGCAAGGCAGACTGTTCCAGTCATTCTTCGAAGCATTGACCCATCCATCATCATCCATCATTTTCACTTCTGGTATCACAAGTGAAACCTGCACCCAGCTGCGACCTCAGCTACAAAATCCATCAACCTCCCCTCCCATTTGGGCCATGACTATGCGATTGCTCCCCAGGAAGGGTTGGAAGACCACCTACGAGGAGCTGAACCAAGCGGCCAACGACGCCTTCACCGATGGGATCAAGCTGCGGGCGCGGAAAGAGAGCGAGTGAGAGGAGGGCGTTGCAAGGAAGGTCGCCGGAGTGGCACCACTCAGTCACTCAGTGGCAGATTTCGCCGGATTGTGTACCCTGAGACACTAAAGAGTCACATCAGTTTGCACAAAATGTGACACAAGTTGGTGCCAGTAACAGGATGTATCTGTTTTGACGGAGATTTTGGGTTGGCCTTCCTGTTCGGATTGATATCTGGGAGGCGTGACAGGTGTTGTTCAGCCAGCATCCATGCCAGGCCATGACTGTGATCAATCCAGGCAATCCGGTGGGTGCCGTGCTGGACCGCGAAGACGTGGCAACTGGGAAGAGCGTGGGAAGACTTGGAACTCATGTATTCTCTAAAAGTAATATTAGATAATATTATATATATTTTTCTAAATATATATGATTAGTATTAGTTATTTACTAGTTTCTATTTTTAAAGTTGTTTTTTGAAGAATACAGGAAACAGGTTTGACCACTTCTTTGCTGATTTTTTGGGTGGGCAGGCCAGGTGAATCTCCAAATTGGCCAAGCACTCGGCAACTTCTCCCAGTGGTTATGCTTAGAATCAGGAGTCTTTTCCCCCAGCCCTTTAGCTCTTGCGGGGCTTTTGTGCAGGGCTGGCTCTGTTCACGAAAGTAGTGAACTCCCGTTTCCCAACACACCAGTAGACTCTAAACGAATGGATGCCCGAAGGCACACACGCACACAAACACACCTCGAAACGCATGACTCGCCATGGACCGCCATTTCAAATATCCCTCCCATATCCCTGCCATCCCTGGTCCATCCGTCAATCTCAGCATGCTTGCCACAGAAAGAATCGGTGTGAGGGATGTGTGATGTGTAAGGGCGTAAGTTCGAGGTGATGCTGATTAACTTTGCCACCGAGCAGAAGCTTGTGATCTTGGCAGATGAGGTCTACCAAGAGAACGTTTACAGAGAGGCGCAGCACCGTTTTCCAGCCGGCCTCAGCTGGTATGAGCTTGGTATTTAGAGGTATATATTTAGAGACTACCGACCTGTCGCGCGATTGTAGTTCATGCAATGAAACGGGAAGCCCAAGCACCGCGGATCGCGCGATGAGGGGAAGCAGTTCCATTCCTTCAAGAAGGTTCTTCGAGAGCTTCAGAAGGACGACCCCGTGGCATACAAGGCTTGAGGGACGCCGGCTAAGGGGTCAAGAGATGTACCAGATATGTTGTGCACTCAACGATCGTCACATGTGACTCATGTGACCATTTGTGAGAAGATGTTGCAATGGAGCTGGGACCACACGGAATTTGGGAGGACAAAGCAGCGGTTTGTATGTATGTGCATGTTCATCACTGGAACCAGGTAAAAAAAAACCAAAGACATTACCACCTGCCACGCAAAATGCAACACACTTAGATTGATGCTCGCAAGAGCTAAGTCAGTGAAGGTAGCCCACTCTACTGTAGCGATTACATTACAGGTGCAGTAGACCTTGACTTGCAAACGGTAAGGTGAAGAGGTCAGCGAAAACTGAAGTGTTTCAACATCTGCATGGTTCACGATTAAACAGTTGCTGCAGGTACGTTCCCGAGGGAATATCACAACACAATGGAAGGGTCTTCGTTCGGCAATGCCTTCCAACGTGTTCATTGCCCCCCTGCATCTGACCTGTTTGACCACCAACGGTGAATTATTCGATGCATCTTCCTTGGAGACAGGTGTGACACACACACACACACACACAGAGGCAATTGTTTTGTTGTTGTGTTTCTGTGGTTGTGCTTGAGTGTTGTGGTTGTGTGTTGTGGCTTTGTGTGTTGTGGTTGTGCGCTGTGATTGTATGTTGTGGTTGTGTGGTTGTGGTCGTGCTTGTGGCTTCTGTGTGTTGTCGTTGTGTGTTTGTGGTTCATATCCGGTAGTGCCCACTGCTATCTGGCACTTGTGTTTGAGGTCCAGTAATGCCCGCTGCATTCTGGCCCTTGCTGTTGAGGTCCGACACTGCCCACTGCGATCTGGCACTTGCTGCTGAGGTGCCTCCGAGGAGGAGGAGGACCAGGAGGAAGAGAAGAGCGCGTACAAAATCTAACAACACTCACCTGGCAGCTAGAGAAAATTGCATGCATGAAGCTTGGATTTACGCATAGTATTGCAGAGGCTCACAGTGGGAGACATTTCTTGAAGTGGTCGCGGCTGTTCTTTTGTCCCAGAAAGTCATTGCATTTTGAAGGACCGTTCAAGGTCAGGGAGCCTGCGCCCAAATTCTTCTGCATAGCCACCAGTTGAACCCAAACGAAGCCGCTGCCAGCAGCTTCGAAAAAACCGACGGGTTGACGAACTGCGGCCAGCGGCCAGCAGCCAGGATACTCAGCTCATCAGCCCCTCGGCCCTCTATGGGTGTCCACGAACCAGTTCCGACTCCGGAAGTCTTGGGCGACACGGTTCCGGGGGGGAGCGAGTTTAGGGCGACGCATGGCGACCGACGTTCGTGGCGATGTTTCTGGAGATGTTTAAGAACTTTTTGTATTGGAAGGACTGTATTGAAAGGACATGCCTTGGCTGAGTGTTTGGAAGGTGGATGTGGAGAATGTTCCAGAACGTCCATTGGATCCCACTCGAACCAGAGACTCCCTGCTCTTTGTTTTTTTAGCCTTTCTGCTCTGCCACGAAATCACGAACGTGGGTGCCCCCCCCCAGACCGGATCTGATGATGAGGCTTCCATTCCACTTCGAAGGGGATCATCGGTGAGTGTGGCCAAAGAGGTGGCTACATGGAATACGTAGGCGCGTCGTGAGCGAACGACTGTCGTTCGTGGCCCAGAGCTGCTTTTGGGTTTCGATAACCGGAGGCGGTGAGATAGATAGAGCGGAATCGGAAACCATCTGTGTCTCATTGGCAGTTAAGATTCGATGAATATAAGCTAGCAGAGGGCACAGGAAATGGGAACACAAAACACCAAGGCAAAACAACCAACAATTCGTAGAGTTTCTAGGCAGTCAAGACATCCTCACCTTCGGTGGGTTTCAAGAGTTTCTATCTTTTCTTGACACTTCCGACCTCCGACTTCATTGCTTCTACCCGTTGTGAAAGATGTTCGTTTCTAATGTCTGCCTCACATGGTGAGTGAACGTTGTCAGTACGGTGGAAACACCATGCCATGCCGACGGGGTGTTGGAGTGCTACCACTAGACAGGCAACACACACACGCGAGGGATGATTGAAAACATTGGAAGTCAAAAGTTGATAATGTGGGGGACACAGGGGGCCACCCTTTTATTTTCTCATCTGGAAACAACCAGATCATGCCAGATCACCCTGTGTTCCAATGTTTGAATCATGAGTGTGAATAGCTCACAAGTTCATTGGGAAGACATGAAGTCCGCGTTTTCATCGAAGACTCGGTGACACCGCGGGTCTTGGCGCATGGCCGCGCATGGCCGTGCATGGCGCTGGCAGAGACCCTGGTGGTTCATACCTTGGGCGGGGAGACATTTCACTTTGATGTCGAGGAGGTGACTCTCGGCATTTGAGACAGAAGAGAAGAGGAGAGAGCTGTGGCGAGTTACAAGGGCAAACCTATTGAAGAATAAACATAATTTTTGAGCTGAGCTGGCAGAAGTATAAAGAGGCCCCCAGGCCCCCAGCAGGCATGATATTTGTGCTGGGATTTGAAATGAGTATATTACAACATATTACAACATATTATATCTACAACTATTATATTATATATAGTACTATTGTATTGTTGTGACATATAAATTAAACATAATACTATATTGATACATATTGATACATATATCATCAATAGGGTTCCTTCCATGTCCTGAATCAAGATGACACTCATTTTGCGAACAAGCCGAACCCATCGGCTGAAGGGGCACCGATCGCTCGGATGGTGCTTGTTGTGCCTAAGGAGAGAGGCTGGTGTGAACTGGTCGAGGCTCGTGAGAGATCGGCTGGAAGCGACGCTCCTTGAAGAACGGAGGGGAGAGTTTTTGTTGCATTTTTTTTAAACAGTTATATATGTTTATTTTTTTTTTCTGTAGATCATGCTTGGGGGTAGTGGCAGTTGCTGGCCAAGGCTCGGCGTTTCGGCTTTCCGGCAGCGCTTGGTCTTGGAGCAGCTGTGGAAGACCTGCAGCTGGGAGGCCGTGGAAGACCTGCATGTTGAGCACCGAGCATCAGTGACGGCAGAAGACCTCTTTGTTTGATCCAGTTCTGCAGAAAACACACATATGGTTTTGGTTCGTTCTGGGTGTATGATATATAGTATATTTGTTATTTCTACAAAGCAGACAGTATAGGGGGTTTGCAGGGGGGGTCCGAGAGAGTCTCGGATTCATGCGGACCTATGGTCTCTTCATGGGATTTGTATCCATTGACAGCGTTATCTCAAGTTCTCTCTAAGTCAATGGTCTTGCTGGGAATCTGCTGGATATTTTTCTGACCCTCTGTAACGTGTTCTGCCATCTAGATCAATTTCAGGCAAGCGCAAAGCACCCTGCCATGATGGCATAACAAATCAGTGGACAAGAAGAGCCCAAACACCCCACACACCCATGACCCAAAAGCACCCCAAAGCTTCATCAGTCTGGGGAATTCACCTGCTGATCTCTTACCCAAACGGTCCACCGCAACTCGATCTTGACACAGAGACTCGCTTTCGCGCCGGAGGAGTCAGGCTGCCCTCGGGAGATCCAGGCGAGACTGGTTCGATCCGCGACCGGACCAAACGGACCGCGGCATCCCTCGCTCGTGGCGACCGAATGCTCCGTTCGTAACAAGTGCATCGCTTCTAGTAACAAGTGCCTTGCTAGTAGTAACAAGGTTCGCTATTAGAATTCAATTAGAGTTAGTAAGAATGCTCCGTTCGGTTCGCGATGCCAGGAGCCCCGTTCGTAGCGTCCGATCGCTCCGTTCGTAGGAGCCGGCCAGGAGCCCGTTCGTAGCTTCTTGTTACAAGTGCCCGGAGTAGGGGGACTTTGGGGGCTTGGACCCAAGCCGCTGAATCGTGGGGTTTGGACTCAGTCGGTTTTTCTGGGTTCTTTGGAGTCCAGTTTTGCAGATCAACAAGCATTCTTGGGTCAATCATGCCAACCAAAGCCCCAAGCCCCAACTGGACGCTTTGATTCATCTCTTTCTGTTACGTTGGGGTGTGCCAGTGCTTTTCACATGTTATACTTGTGCTCTGGCACTTGGACCTGAGTGATTCTTCTTCGCCAAGGAAGCCATAGAACAGAAGCCGCGGGTTGGTCAAAGTCTGTGTGGCTCATATCGTGGTGCGAGTTCACAATATCAAATCCCTCGTCCTTTACGTCACAAGCTGATTTGCTCACAGGTGCTCGTGCAGGACTGGACCTTTAAGTACGCTGCTCAGCTGTGCAATGCGGCCAAAGAAGGACAGAGTTGGTCAGTCAATTAAAGAGTGGTTGGAAGAGGGATGCACGGAGGTTTCAAGTTTGAACCGGATGTCTGGTTTGTTCTCCTGCCTGGATCTTCCTTGAATCCCTGGTCTGAATGTTATTTCTAGAGGTATAGATCCAGGTAGAGGGTCAACATCTGGGGTCAAACAGGAAGCTGCATTTGACCAAGACTAGGCAAGCAAGCTCATCGACATGAGGATCATGATGCCAAAGACTTTACACTTCATGGATGGTGGGCTCTGGGTTCTTTTTCAACCAACAGAGGCCATCGCTCTTAGGTTGGAGGCCATCGCTCTTAGGTTGGTGCTTTCAGCTCTTGAGGCGTTCTGTCTCTGCAATCACCCAACAGACCGAACGCACGAAGTCTATTTTTCTCGGTCGCTTGACAGATTGGGCCCCGTCCACGAGTGGAGGAGCGTTTGACTTGACACGAAACCTGCTGGAGATGTCGTCAGAGCCCAATGGCTATCTCTTCAAGGACCCATCTCTTTCAGCCTCTGAAACGGAGGGTCTGCCAGGAACCATGCTGGAGTAAACCCTCTAGGATGTGGATATGACATGAGGGATGTATAGTCTCTATTCTGAGCAATAGACATCAGTAGACCATGGGGTAAACCTTAGCCATCCCTCACGGTTGGACGATTGGATGAGACATGATGAGACTCAACTCTTGTGGTTTCGGGAAGTGACACAACCAGTCGACTCCTGGTCACCTGCAGCTCCACTTCGAAAGCAAGCGGAACGAATCCACCCGTCTCGAAAGGAATCCTTCCGTCTTCGCTGCTTGGTCTTAGTCGTCTTTATGGAGTTGGAGGCCATTGCTTCTAGGTCATTCTAGGTTGGAGGCCATCGCTTCTACATAGTGGGCAGAGCTGCCTTCGAGAGACTCTTCCAAGTATTGGTCAAACTCCGCTTCGGTCATTGGAGTTTGACCGACTTCGCTGTGGAGGATCATTGCGAAGATGAGGGCAGCGAGGAGGAGTCATCCGAAGGGGTTGCCATGTCTTACGGGCCCGGTTGCCGTTGCAAAGATAGCAGGAACTCGACTGGCGTTGGAAGAGCTAACAGTAACAAGTGCCACGCTTCTAGGAACAAGTGCCTTACTAGTAGTAACAAGAAGCTAGTATTATGATGTACGCTAAAGCTAGTTCTGATGACACAGCAAAACATAAAAAATGCATAAACAATGCAAAAATAATGCAAAACCAATCCCGAAAAAAATGCACAGAAAACGCGAAAACAAGTCACCAAAGGATGCCTTGGAATGCAAAAAAAAGCAAAAAAAATGCGCAAAAAACGCATGTGTCCACTAAACCAATGCAAAAAACGCACAAAAAA